ACGCCAGGTCCTTGTTGGAGACACGTCTGCGTTTCACGGCGAGGATAGCGAAATTACGTGGCTCGTCGGTATTATGACGTGAGATAGTGTGCTCACAGAACCGCTCGATGATTGCGACGAGTGTCCAAGCAGTCTCACTGGCTTACTCGCATAGTTTTTGAATCTCGGTATAAAACTAGGTTGATTCATGGGGAGATTTGAACATCAGCACCCAAAGTTTGCAGGTCCCACATACCTTTGGCAGATCCTGCATGTCAACCACCATACCGGAGGTAATCATGTTGACAAGCTGCTGAAGCACTGCCAGTGCGTGTTGAGTGCCGAAATATTGGCTAACGGCCTTTCGGGATCGCGGGCGCGAGACTTCACCCTCAATGACCCAGGAGAGATAGCGAGAGTAATCAGGCAGTGCACCAAACTATCGCTTGACGACAGATGGATTAGCTGGGGAGTAGTTGAGGGAGAGGGAAACAGGAAACAGCAAAGGGATCGAGGCGGTATTTAAATATTGTGCCCTGGGGCGTTTCGACCTCCTAGGATGCTGAACCGATTAGCTAACGTGTCTGTGTCACATCGATCGATAGTTCTGGTCTAGGCAGGCAGCTTCTGGCAGTGGATGATGATGCCTTGCCATCATCAAGGTTCCAAGACCATGCCCAGTAGACCAGGATTGGGATAGATGGCTAGTCACCAGTGGAGGAACTACGTCCCTGCTACTTCACTGCGTGATGGTCGCTAACCCCCAATAAGGCATTGCTGATATCCTAGGGCACGCCCCTGGACTCTTCTACCGGAATGAGCTCCTTTGAGCCTCTGGCACCATCTACCTCTCACACAGCTCCCAATAGCGGTAGCACATTTGGTATGCGATTTCAATCGCCGAGAACAGGGAACACCTCGTTGGCATGAGTGAAGCACACTTTTACACCACTTCGCTCACAAAGGCCACTTCCTTGCCCGGTGCCGGAGAGGACATGCGCATTGAGAAAGCCTGTCCTATCGCAGTCCATGCTAGTGAGGATAGAAATGACTGAAGGTCTTGCAGGATGGAGATTCGGCATGAGCGGTATGCTCCGCTGATAGTATGTCCAAGGATTCGTGCCTAGGAAAGGCACAATTCAGGGCTAAGGTATGTGGCGTCGGCGGATCAGAAGGCAACGCCTTAAACATAAGCTTGTGATTCCTTGGGTCTACGGAGCATGGTGTGTATATCCTTCAATATCGATCCTTGTAGGGGATCCGCGGATGGAAACGTCCATCTACAGGGCGATGTAGAGGTTGCAGAGGGTATGAGACCAATTTCGAGAAACATTAGGATCGGCAGCAAGGTGGTGGAGTAGAGGTTCTTCGGCCGCAGCCCTTCGCTACTTGATCTAAATAAATCCAGAAAGACGGGAAGAAAAGGAGCAAAAATTTGGTAGTCTGGAACCTCCCGCTAGTTCAAATCGTAATGTGTCTAGTAACCCGTCTCGTCTTCCACAGTGGGTAGGGGCTGGAGTCTGAAGGGATACTGACCTACGGTACGTGAGACTTAATACATTGTCTTCAAGCCATCAGTCATCCCTGATTCTCACTTTTGGTGCCAATCTTCAATATAATCATGGGTCGTTTCTTCTCTGGACAAACTTGTTCTGACTTCGTACGCCTGTACTATGATTAGATCTCCGGATCGATCCCATATATTCAATAGAAGTACTTACGGGGTGCTCTGCTCGCTTTGAGAAGATGCTTTATCACTAGAATCGTAATAGGGATGCGTTTCTTCATAAATCTGCAGACAGAAGTTAGGAAACGCCGTGAAGGCGAATAGGGATATCTGACCAGTTTTGCGCTCATCATGGCTGAGTTTTTAATTCCGAATGGCTTGTGGTCGCCTAGTTCTGGACAGCGATTGGGATGACCATCTTTATGCTGCTTCTCACGATTATCGCGAGTGGTCCGACGGTAGAACCTCCTACCACAAGCGCCACAAGCCGACTTACCTTTATTCGATACTCGTGCTCCTGTCCCGGGACCTGTATACTCAGCGCCTGACCGGTGTGACTGGGCTTTCGGGAAGCCAGGAAACTCTTTGGGTTCGGTGGTGGAATAAGGGGCTGTCACACTTGCTCCAGGGGTCTGTGATCGTGAGTGCTGCTTTAGATCTTGTTGCTGCTTAAGCGGATATTCGCCCAGCAAATCAAGCATATACTTGCATGTCTCAAGATCAAGCTCTTGAAAAAAGGACTAAGCTGAGTCTTAGATTTCTGCTGTGGAATATCGCTGCCAACTCACCACTATTTCCGCTCCAAGGCTCGCTCTCGATCGTTCACAACCTTCATCTTCGACCTTACGTTTCTTGACTTTTTGTTCATATCGACATTTTTTGCTAGCGATCCGATCTTCATCCTCAGCCTTACGTTTCGTGTCAATTTGTTCAGCTTCCCGCTGATCCGAGAGAATTTCCCCAAGGTCTTCGACATCGCGATCTGACCCTAGCTGGTCGGCTTGGTGGTCGAGAGATGCGTGCTTGGCCCGCAAAGCCTGGACTCGAGCATCAAGGTCGCTTTGGTTTGCTGCCGCAGTCACACAATATTGGATGCGCTCCATGATGGTTACTACTCCGTCACGATAGAGTGACAATAGTGATCCTGTACGGATGATGATTCGGTCGTTTTTGTAGGGTGAAGGAATCTAGGCCATGGCTATAAATAGCATATGGGTTCGCCCCTATTTCTAACTTTGGCGATGCTATTCATAGATGCCGTCCCAAAATACCCAAAAGCCTCGACTACAGAATCAAAAAGCTGATACTGTAAAGAGAGATTACAGCGTAGTTTGACTTGAGGAAGTTAAGGTGGGAACTTGATAACAGCTGGGAGTCCAGGTCTCTCAGCAAATCGAACGGAACAGGTCGGACGGCGGAGGCAACTTTGCCGAAAAAAACAAAGTCATAAAGTCACGTGAAAAAGGCCGGTGAAAGGCTAAAGGTAAGCCAGTCTGGATCAGTACTGAGCCCCAACGAGGCTGAAAGATCGCGCATATAGTATACTAAGTGGGGATCATAAGGCACAGTCAACAAAGGTAATTTTCGTTAGCTCAACACTAACATACGTGACGCTTGGCAAATTCTCTAGGCCCTCACTGCCTAAACACAGCCTAAGTTCCGGCGGGTTTTAGTTAATGCTTAGGGGCATAGCGCCTAAACCCACCCTTATAAGCCTCTCGTCAAGAGTCACGTTCCTTCGGGTCGAGCTAACGAAATTACCCTTGTTAACTGTAGTTTAGAATAGTAGCCCAGCATGTACATACTGTTGCTCATGAGGGCCCAATGATCCGCACTAGGCTCTCTATGCTCCACCCTACAAAAGTGGTAATGATAGTGGCTACCTAAACCAAGTGGCAGAGGATCCTTGAATGTACTATCAGCCGAGCATAGCGCTCATGCCAAATCCTCTGGTCCGCAAGACCTTCGGTCATTCCTATCCGCATTACCAGTGACTGCGAGGGAAAGACGCCCTTAATTGGCATGTCCATACAGGTGCCACGCCGGACGGCGGCCTTGTTGGGCAAAGTGGTGCAGGGTGTCCCTGTTCTCGGCGGCCGTGGTCTCATACGAAATCGGCCTCGGTCATGAGGAGTTATTTGAGAGGTGGGTGCTGCCACGGGAGCTCAAAGTGACTCATTGGGGCAAAAGAGTCCAGGCGCAGGCTCCAGGCTATCAGCAATATCTCGTTGGGGTTTAGTATTCATCGAGCGAAGTGAAGCAGCCGGAAAGTGGTACTCCATTAACGAACATTAATCTATCCCAGTCCTCGTCGAACCCTAGCCATTGCGCCCTGATGATTGGAAGGCGTCGAAAAATACCGTCGGAAGCTGCCCGTCCAGACCAACACTGTCGACTGATGTGACCTCGGACCCTTAGCTGATCCGTTCAGCTTCCTAGGAGGTCGAAACGCCTCTGGCCACAACGGTTAAATACTGCCTCGATCCTTTTGTTTTCCTGCTTCTCTCTCTCTCTCCTGCCTCAGCCAATTCCACCTCTCGTCAATGAACTGTGTGTTCCCCGGATCAATTGGTTTCGTCGTCTCGCCTGGGGAATTGACGATGAAGTCTCGAGCGTCTGACTCCAAAGGATCGTCGCTCGGTGCTCGGTCCGCGAACACGCAACAGGCACTGTCGCTGCTTCGGCAGCTTGTTGATTTGATGGCCTCCGGCATGGTTGCGAACATGGAGGATCTACCAGAGGTATGTGGAAGTTGAAGATCCTAGGTGCTGATAGCCGTATCTCACAATGGACTACCCTAGTTCCACGTCGAGATTTAAAAGCTTTGCGAGCGAGCCCGTGAGACTGCCTGCGCAGTCGGGAAAACGATACAGCGGCTCTGTGAGAACACCATCTCTCATCAAGAGACGGATGGGCTGCGTAATGGCTCTGCCCACTCCAAGAAACGCAGAGCTGTTTCCAATAAGGACTTGACGTATCGACCACCTGTCGCTGCGAAGATCTCAAGTGCAAAGACCAAAATCTTGGACATCACCGACGTTGTACTATACTCCGTTCAGGATCCTGAAGATATTACCGAGCTGGGTGACATGGTCACTCATCCCTCCCAAGCCTCGAATGACGTTGTCAGAGTTGGTCACATCGCCAGTCGAATCACATTCAATCAACAACCGTATGTGCCACAGGAGGGCCGTACTCTGAATTTTAGACCTATGCCGCTTGATCACAATACGGGCCAGGCAGCCACTGTGGACGAGCACTTGGAATCTGCTGTGGTTAAGGTTGGGTTTACTTCAGAAAGGAACAAAGCCGAAGCGGAGCAACGATTGGGTTTCGGCACACCACTACTCCAACAAACTGGAAGCGCTTTAATTGTGTTATCCACGCAGATACAAATTGCAGCGTCCTTAGACCCAACGAAAGAGGTTAACGGAGTCAAGGTGGGGATACCAGCTGAGAGCGTTGTTTATTCATCGGTATCGGCGATAAATTCATGTTTAACAGAGCCCGCCTCCTTAATGGACATGATTCTTGAAGCTGTGCGCATCATCCATCAATTCAGCAAATATCCTTACGGGGTTCCTCGGGCTGTTCATTCGAGGATTCTGCAGTCCCTTGGGAAGAACTATCCTGAGGCCAATGACGTATCCAGGGTGAACCAGTGGTCTGACGGTTCTATGTGGATGCAAGTGCTCGAAATGGGCTCGTCGGAGAATCAAAGAGTGACGATCTTGAATATGCTGGAGTATATGGGAGCGTGGGATGATAACCAGATCGAACGGTCACTGACAACAATCCTCACCAAGAAGAATAAACCGGTTGGTCGCCGAGGTGCTGCCATCCATGTGCTGAACGAAATGCAGCACTTGTCAGCGGATACGACTCGACTAGGAACATGTCTTAGTGGCGTTAGGAGAATTGACTTGCAAGATGAGGGGAATAGTACACATCATCTGTCCTCGGATCGTGGCTTAAGTGTCGCTAAGCAAGACAAGCGGCTCCAGAGGAAGCGCATCAGCATACAGCTCACCAGAGGCCAAAAGTTGAGTACGAAACTTATTAAGGGTTTGGGCCTGGGAATCCTATTTAGTCCCAAGATCTAGTAACCCTTCTAACACTAAGCTCCTTTCACTGGCTGACGTTATATTCTTCCGTAGGGAGCTCACCAAAATGAGTGGGGAACAGCTCGATGTGATGATCAGAGATATTCAGAAGGACCCAAGAAGGATTCTACTATTGGACATCCTAGGTCGACAACTGGAAGATCTAATCGCTGAAAAGAGTCCGGATCTCCACGAACTGTGTGAGACATTGAGAGCAGAAAACCTCGTGTTAGAGGAGGAATGCCAAGTACTTCATGCCATTCTCTGCGTGGACGCTGTGAGTACCATCGGACGAATAAGAAATCTGGGGCTGATGCCATAATTTCGCACCAGGATGCCGTCTCAAAGGCAACCTTAAATGCTGCTGTGGAACAATTAATCAAAGACGTCGGAGCCAAGGTTCTTGGCAAGCGCAAGATCCGCGAGGGTAACAGTGTTGCGATTAACAATGGAGTGGAACTCGATAGCAACATATTTCGGCGGCTTCGCGAGGAAGATTGGTTTGATGCCTGGACCATTGTGGCGGCGATGCAAATATCGGACAAGCCTTTCTTCGTTCACCATGGCTATAGCGTTCCATTAGACGAACTGGGAAGAAATGAGAGGATGAAACCTGTCAAGCGACCTCTTGCTGGCTGGGCCCAGAAGATTATTGACTTCCGCAAAAAAGCTTATGAGATATATGGGGATTCGACACGTCTGGTGTACTTCTGCCCTCTGAACCATGGCAACCGGCATTTCACATTGCTCGAGATCAATGAGCGTGAAGAAGTTATCCGTCACTATGATTCGCATGCAGACCAAAGCGTAATCCACGGCACCATGAAGCTGACACGAGTGCAGAAGTTGGTGAAAGTGAGAGGACCTTCATTAGCTATGTGGAGAGATTCTGACGCGATTGTAGGAAGAATTCGGTGACTTAAAATTCACATTTCGTGAAGCTGTAAGTGTCGAACACCGGTGTCACTGTGGAGGGTCTGAACTGACTGGGAATCAGCCCACGCCGCAGCAAAATGACAGCTGGAGCTGTGGTGTTAGGGTTGTCTGGAATTTCCGACGTTTGGCGAATAATCTCCCAGTTGGGGATTGGAACATGACACTTAGCCCGGAACGTATGAAAATGGAGATTGTGGAAGGGTTTGCCGCGTGCATTGAGAATGGAGCCATGAAGAGATATAGGGAGTAAAGCCTTCATGCGCATAGTGTTTTCATATCGCGATGGATCGATTAGACGTTGGAGCAACGTGTCCCGACTTCGCCGTAGGTCCATTTTCATTCCCAACCCAAGGTATCTAACTGGTTAGAGACATCCGAAGTTATGGGGTTGCAATGTTGAACTCGACGTGTTGTGTCCTGAGTCGTCCTCTGAGCAGTGAGAGCACTGCCGTACGCCGATGCACGGAACCATAACCTAGGGCGTCGAGAGTCCAACCGGAGAGGCGAAGTTCCGTGCCGCGTGCTCGGTTATTGTCGCCAGGGCGCCATCATGGCCATTTTGAAGGCCACGTCGCTGCACCTAAGAGGCACCCACCAGTCGTACTATAATGTAGCGTCTGAGGTAGGCCAAAGGTGCAGATTACACTGAAATAAGGTGCGTTAATTTATCCATAGTATTAGAAAGACAGCAGTTCAGTTGTTAATAGTGCACTTTCCTTGGCAGCTGTGTCCACAGATAGTCTTCTCCATGAGCATGAATCGTGATCTGAGGGACGCTGGAACCGAATAGGCAAGCCATAAAACCAACATCACTGGAGTGGTGCATCCCTGTGATTGAAGTCACGTCGGGGCGAGCATCGAGAGGGGATTTTCATTGTCGAAGTTGGATTCCCACCGCATAATGGCAGTGTGGATGCTTCATAACTTGGTTGTTGGGCGGTTTCGGCTAGGGCTGTCAAACCTTTCGCTACCAGGATGGAGGTGGCTCTAAGCCATCACGGTTGTGTGGGTAACAACGGTGGATAGTGAGCGTTAGGCGCCGTCTGGAAATCGACTGGCCGACTTGATAATAACGTCCACCTTCAGCAAATCGAGATGGAACTAGTCGAAGCTGTGCAGACATTAATCCTTGACAAAGTGCCAATGGAATCGAATAGGATAGCACTGACGTGGGGGACTTTTGGCTAGGTAAGAGCAGAGGGGACATTCTGCCACTTAGGAGTTTGAGAGCATGAAGGGACGAGCTGCAGGGTCTGCCAGGATATGGCATGTGCAAAGAGGATGGGTACCTGGTAGACCTCCACTCTGTCTGGTAGGCACAGCGACGGAAAGACTGCAGCGGTCTTTACTATTGGTCAGCACGAAACTCTCGATCTCCCGGCCGGTCTGGGTATCTGAGCTGTATGCCCATCGACTGGCCTAGTCACACCGAAGAGAAGAAAATACACCAGGCAATGAGCGTGAGTGGCAATCGATGAAAAGTTCTTAGCGCAGTAAAGGGTGAGATGTGTCACTAGTTTCCTAGCATATTGTTTGAACGTGGATTTCCTCGCAAGTGCTATGCAGTCGCGGCTTCACGTGCTGGTGGTGTGGTAGTGGCAAAACGTGGAGCTATGACAATCGGTTCTCTTTCCTCACCTGTTCGGCCCACTCGAGTCAATTTAGCTTGGGGTCGGATGACTTTAGATCATTTGACAAAGTTGTCGGCAGATGAGATGCTCGATTGGAAAATCCTATCAAACATGAGCTTGACCAAATGGAGGAGGCACTTCAGTCGAACCTGCTTGGGGTTGTCCCTCGCAAAAGCGGAGGCCACAAAACCCTCGTATAGGTGACTGATCCACAAGAATCATCAAGAAATATATCCAATGGCTTTGGAACTCAACCCTCCGTACACGAATGTGGTACTCTTCGGATTGCTGGAGTGATAAGATTGTCGCGGGTGGTAAATGTTTTGTTGGTAGCGTGTTCTCAACCAACCCGCCAAGACTTACACAACCCAACCATCCCTCCTTCAGCTGATGTCACATGTAACTTCGTCTCAGCGCTTAAGGAATCGACTGCGACTGAACTTCGCCAGCAACAATATGAAGCCGCCCACTCCTTTCTCTCTCACTTCGAGCAACCATGGCACGACGAAACAGTGCAACCATTCCGAAGACCAGAAGACAGTCCCTGAATCTGCAACACCAAGGTCATTTATTCGCTTCCTCCTTCAGTACACGACTGCCCAGCAAGGGGAAACGTCCTCAAGGTATCATCAAAGGACAAAGGCAAACCCCTCTTCGACGGAGCGCACGTTTGAGCCGCTTGATTGAGGTTGATGAGACTCAGCCAAAATACAGCAAACAGCCTCTACCATCGCCAGTCAGCGACATTAAAAGTCTTAAAGTAAGTCGTTAATTTTGTGCTGCAATGGAAGACTAACCCAGTACAGCGTGCACACCCACCTCCTACCCATCTACCATCGAAGCCTCCGAAAAGGAGACGAGAAGCTGAAGAGCAACTAAAACCGCCCTCTTCAAAACGACCGCGAACATCATGTCCTGAACCCTCTCCTCAAGACGTCGATACCGTTACATATTGGACGCAGACATATCACTGGCCAAGAGGATACTTCGATGAAAGTGGTGAAATGAGTCATTTACTGGCCCGAAAGAAATCGACAGCGTCCCTTCGCAGAAAGCGATCAGATAGCGAGTCTGGCGCACCAAGCTCCACTACACCGAGTGACCAGAAACCTAGAGAGGAGAAGAGTGCTCCTTATCAAGACCCACGGTACAACTCGCTTCTCGAGGCGAAAGGTAGCTTTATGGGCAAATATGTTGGCCGGAGTGAAGAGGGTCCTACAACAACGAGCAAGAAAGAGTACAAGTCCTTGCTTGAAGCCGAGCAGGTAGTTCCCGAACAGTCCTTGTTTCAGGATGATTTCTTCGAGGATACCTGCGAGATGGTACAGAACAGAAACGAAGCAAAGGTCATTCAGGATATCGCGAGACTCATCGTTCCTTCCGCGCAATCATTGGCGGTTCAAGGGGCGAAGCATTTAAGGTGTCTTGTCGAGAGCGTCAACGAGGGCTGGAACAATTCTATCCCAGTCACCAAAACACGACCTCAACCAGATTATTCTGTGGGGTTCAAACGCTCGGCATTTACAGAAGATCAAATTCAGAAGCTCCAGCCATTCGTCGGCGACCTCTTCGACAACTCCTTCTTCATGGGCACTTGGTACATGTACTTCCCCTTCTTCTCGAGTGAAGTGAAGTGCGGTGCGGCCGCACTCGATGTGGCAGATCGTCAGAACGCGCACAGCATGACCCTTGCTGTTCGAGGGGTCGTGGAACTGTTCCGACTCGTGAAGCGTGAGCAAGAGCTTCATCGTCACATCCTCGCCTTTTCCATTTCGCATGATCACCGGACAGTGAGGATTTATGGCCATTATCCTGTGATGGGGGGCAAGAAGACCACGTTCTACCGTCATCCAATTCGTACTTTCGATTTTACTGAATTGGACGGCAGAGAGAAATGGACGGCGTACAAGTTTACTAAGAGTATCTACGACACCTGGATGCCTGCGCACTTCAAAAAACTTTGCTCGGCAATCGATGCAATACCGCACGATATACATTTTGAAGTCTCTGAGGAATCGGATCTGCAATTCACTTCATCATCGGGACTTTCACAAGGTCTGGAAAGCCACCATCTCGCGGAATCAGGCACCACATATGATGACGACCTGAGGCTCCTCGACCCCCTGCGGCTGACACCAGAAACTTCTGTTACCCAAACATCAGAACAGGCGACGTTCAAAAAACCAAAGAAGAAATGAAACTCGGTATTCACTTGGCTAGAGAACTTCTGGAGATAGAAAGGTTAGATCAGAGCAAAGTCATTTCGACAATGTTGCTGTCTTAGAATCTGCATTTATCATAGTGTTTAAGAACAAGTAGCAGGCAAGTTCTCATCCCTTGGTTGCAGAATTTGCTGGTACTCTGCTGGCTCGGGAGGCGGACATCGTGGCCGAAGGAGGCAGCAAATGCAGACATCTCTAGTTGCAAGCCTTCATCAAGAGTTCGTCTCGTGTCAAGAATTCCACGCAGATGGCAATCACAACCTGGAGTTGATAGGCAGAGGACATTTTCAATCGAACTCCAACGATCCAATTCCCCACTCCTTCTCGCAAAAATTGGCGAGTTTCCCTTAACAACTGCTCAAATGGTTGGGCAAGGCCAAAGTCGCCGTATACCGTTCCGAATTGCCATTCTCATAGCTGGAAAATCATACCATGACAATGGCTTGGATCGCTGTACACCCATGGAATCTAAATCTTGTTTTAGAGCGCTCATCGACTCGTATTGTCCCTGCCAGCAACACATGATTATGGAGCGAAAGCGAAGGTTCTCCACAGATGGAAAGAGTTGTTGACGATACATGTCCTCCACGTAAGATATTCTTCCATCCTGTGACATGTGCTTGGTCTCGTGGTAGAACGGCGGTGCGCCTGTCTCGATTTCGAACACGGTACAGCCAAAAGCAAAGATATCAGTTGCCCTGTTAACAGGAGCATCCGGATGCTCTGGCGGTCGATAACTATACTCGTCATAGTTCGCCAATGCTTCTTGGTCATCAAGTTGAGAGCCACCGAAGTCAATCCACATCGCGATATCATCTCCGGAGACAATGACGTTGGCAGCGTTGAGATCGGCGTGTATGACATTGTTATCATGCACGTACTGCAAACCACGGGCAAGTCCACAGACCCATTTTTCTTGCTGTTCATGTGAGATGTCGCCCTCTTGCAGCATTTCTCGCAGACATCGTCCCGCCTGCAGAATAATTGTTCTGTCTTGGACATCAAGCATTTCTACCACATTTGTATGCTTGCCTAGTCGCTGCAGGACGTTGAATTCTCGGATGAAATTCTCGTCATTGCCGCTATATATTTTTGCAGCTTGATTGCCGGTGATGATTATTCTAGCAGTCGATCCCTGAATGTGCTTCGGCATTACCCAGGTACCCACGGTCAATTAATCTGTTGGCATGGGTGTGATGAACGACTTCATAAGGTGATACAGAACCATACTACTTCCGCCCGGGGGCGAGTTGAGTTCTTATTGGGAGAGCTGAAGAGGGTTAAGGAAACTCTAAATCTCATTTTGTTCTTGTTATGTGGCGCAGTTAGGCTCGCGTGACCTTATCCACGCGAAATTGACCTTCTGTCGGCCTGACCCGTGGGAAGGTGGCCAAGGCACGTGACGTATCTGGCAGTTCATCTTCAGATAAACTATCCCACATAGTACTGCAGATAATCAATCATTTCAACAAAGTCATGACGCATGGCTATCATCTTCCACCTATGCTCAGCGTCCGGCATTATTGTCCATCTGGAAGAATGTGTTAAAACACATCAGCAAATTTGTTGTGGTTGCGATCGCTTACATTCTCAACTCGAACTGTTCCCACTGACACTCCCGAGTCACGGCAGGTCGGACATTGGCCACCAATAGGAGTGGACCCGAACTGCGCTATGTCGATTCTCTCTGTGGCGTCGCTGCAATAAGGCTTCGAGTTCTGGGCCTTCGAGCACCTGTCGTAGTAACGCTGCTCTACTTGGTGCCGACTTGGTCGGCGGGGACAGTGTCGGTAAATGCGGATGGCTTTAGTGTATTGACACATGGTGTTGGGTGGTACAGCTGCGAACCTCCGAGACCCTATTCCGATGTCGCGTCTGGAGTGGGCGAAGGAAGACTACTACTTATACTGTCACTGGGTCTAGTAGAGATAGTCATTGAGCCTATCAGAGACATAGACAGGTCCTCTCAAGGTCATATTCAGGCAGATTGTTGCATACCTAGCTTCCCTTCAAGCTGCAAAAGCCTGGACATAGAAGAGCCACGATAGAGGCAAGAATCAGCATAGGCGGCACCCAATAATATTCTACCACGTTTATCTGCCCCTACCAATTCTGTTCCCCCAACTCTGCACTTCCCCAACTCTGCATCTCCCAACTTTGTTTCCCCCAACTTTGTTCCCCCCAACTCGGCACCCTTCAACTCAGCACCCTTCAACTCAGCACCCTTCAACTCAGCGCCCTTCAACTCAGCACCCTTCAACTCAGCACCCTTCAACTCAGCACCCTTCAACTCAGCACCCTTCAACTCAGCACCCTTCAACTTTGCATTACCAAACTCTGTAACGCTCGACTTTGCACCGCCAGGTTCTGCACCGCGTAACCGCTGCACATCCGACTCTTATGGCTTCTGTCATCGAGCAATTAACGAATGTCGTTCAACATATCGAAAGATCGACAGAGAATCTCAGCAACCAATCTTTTATCAAAAGTGAGCTACATGAGCTTACGAAGATCGCAGACAAATTACATGATATAACCGTCATAATTAAAAAACGAGCAGGCTCATTCAGGCCTTCTCTTGAAGACAACATATGGGAAGCGACTACAGACTTGCGGAACAAATCTCAATCAGCCATTTCAGAGCTCCTTAGCAGTGGGAAGTTGAAGAATAGGTCGACCTTTCTAAGAAATATTATACTGATATTCAATGGTCCAAAGCATGATGCTGTCGATTCTTCGGCTACAGCTAAGAAAAAGAAAGCTACGCAAAACAGATGTGAGAAAATTCGGAGACTGAGCGCTGACGGGATCCTTTCATGGGCAGTTTCTTATGAACCCTCGATCTGGGCCGCCGGAAGTCTGGCGAACGACATGTTCGACTGCTTGCTCGAAGATATTGATCCCAAAAGCAATCAGATGTGGCCCGCCTCTGTCCGAGAAGAACTACAAGGTCTCCAAAGCTATGATGCTCTTCAAAATTCCTCCCCTTATAACAGTTTTGCAAATGGTGAGTACGTTACAAATCCAAGAGCCAGATTACGTTGACTGGCAGTAGCTATTGTAAATGCAATTGATGATACTGATGAGGAAGATGACACTGTGCCAGAGGAAAATCCATCTTCACGTTCTCCTACCATGGAAAAGAGAGGTTCGAAAGTAGTCTTATTTCATGTGTGAACTTGCTAAAATTTCAAAGAGATGAGCCAAATGTTCACAAATTCTCCCGCACTTGACATCTCAAAAATGCCACAACCTTTCAGGAGGGCGATGAAAAATAGTGGGTTGTGGAAATGGGAAAGGAGTCAAGGTTATACAACGACGTCCTGTTTAGCGTTCTTGTTCCCGAAGGACGCAACACAAGATGTTTCCATCACTATCTGGTGTGGTCATAACGACGGATATCGACTGATTGATATCTTTGGGGTAGAACCTGCAATGAAATCGGGCTAACGCCCAAAATACACCACTTTGACACCTCTAACATAGACTGTGTGGTCCTTTGGAACCTCAAACGGTTTGATCTCCGCGATATGCTCCACAAGTGTCTTCTCAACCCGTGTCTTCTCATTGTAAATCTGGAGAAAAAGTCCTGCAAAATTTATCACTCTATTTTGAGATGGATCGGGAGCGAATCGGTGGGCCGCAATATTTTTCTCTGGAATGCCTTGCAGGGCTTGGTCTCCTTTCTGAGTGAATGGTTAGTTAGCAAGACCAGAGGATGAAACAGCTTAAGGATGCAACGAACCGCCATAACTGAGCAGAAGTAGACGAAATGGAGCTTGCACAACTATCAATCCCGTTTGAATGACAGCAACGCAGATGCGGGAGGACTCTTGAGCGGCACGGTGTTTGCGAAAGGCATCTCTCATCGCATTCTTGATGAAAACTTGTAAAGTTGGAGATATTTCAAAAGTTCGCGGGGTGCGGCCTTCATATTCATATGACGCGGGGCATTTCAGTTTCAAGTTGCTTGGGTTGGGCAGCAACATATGAAGACAACTCGTGTATGGAATAGTCTGGAAAAGCAAATTCATTCAGTACGGATAATCTTCATATCCAAATGTTCAGTAGAGGCCATATCTTATCAACTTCTTCTTCTTCTGCATCATGATACCGCCATAACCAAACTCTCACCATGGTGGCTGACAATACATATTAACGCCGTTCAGACCCATCCAAATTCGTTCGCACCACCTCAGTTTTCGAACCACCCTAATTGGTACTACCTCAATCCGCACCATCTCCATCCGCACCATCTCAATCCGCACCATCTCAATCCGCACCATCTCAATCCGCACCATCTCAATCCGCA